GACTACATTCACTTTTAATTATTGCTATATATATATATATTTTTACACGAAATTGAATGTTACTGAAATCTTTAACACTAATTTTTCATGATCCATTTTTTAACAATTATGATTCACTGCACGTCCTTCCAGCTGCTTTCACGAAGCTATCAACCATGCAGTTTTCCTGTTACGGGTTCTCGGAATTCACTACGGCAAACAGAATCATTTACCTTAGATTCCATACGACCTCATTAAATTACCCGCTCACGCTGTATTTTTCCCTTCTATTAACATCGCGCACAAACGCGTTATTTGAGAATATCGCCTCGCGATCCTTTCCTGGATATCATTTAACTAGATCTATAGTACCGCGAGAGACGAGACTAGAAGATATGTAACAGGAACTCATTAGTTCCCTTTTGCCTAGTAATGGTAATTACGTTGGGAGTAGCAGTAGCACGCATCTGAAATTCCGCGTTCCGTGCGCTTGTTCATTTTTGTGTTACCTTCTGATCCTTCGATCAATGGCACGGCCTGCGGAAACCGGTCGATTTCGCGTAAATCACTCCGACGAATGTCTTCGACGATTTATCGTCGCTGAACTGTGTGGCCATGAACGCGGATATCCCTATATGGCGGTAGTACAGGTGCACGATATCTCCCCTTATCTCCCATCATCTCTTTCTCTCTTACCCTCCTTTCTTTAACATAGGTTTACGCGGATTAAGTGTCTATCGAATCACCCCATATAGATCCAGCAAACAGGCATCGCGCGATATACTTCGTGAAATTATGAAAACTTGAAAATCAGCCTGGAGACTAAATTTTCTGTATCGGATTTTATTCTGAATAAATTATGTGGCCACGATACTTTCGTTTTATAATCTCCGGTTCAAAAATTCTGTTTACCTTCAGTATAAAAGTACAGCTATGATCACGTCTAGCATCTATTTCTCAATACCTTTTGACCTATTCTACTTTTCCACCTTTTACCTTGCTTTTTTTCTACCAACACACGATACCGTTCAACTTCCGAACCGGCAGTGACTACCACTCCCGGTCTGACTAGTAACGCACTTATTCCATTTTTTCCGTTTAACCAACAGAGGTTCTTTCCATTATCGTAAATTGTACGTTTCGCAATTTTTGGGAGGCGCTTGTAAAATAACATGTTTTGTTAACCTGTCTGTCATTCGATAAACTATTCTTAGATATACTGGTTGGTAGCCAACGAAACTTAGCTTTAATTTTACAATATTTTAGTTTTAAAATATTTTGTTGTGCATGATCATACATACTATTAAAATAAAATATATCGATTCTTCCAATACTTCGCAAGTTATATACAAAAAAATATCGTGTAAATATGCATTGGGAAATGTCACTTGTAGTCGAATAAATAAATTGCAAAATTTTGTAGTTGTAAATTAAAAAAATATTACAGATGTAATTAAAAACTTAGAGAAATATGACAACTCAAAATACAAACGTAATTTGAAAAATATGTAATTCTTAGATAATTACTTTCCATAATTAATGTATATAATTATAATTATTATATATTATATTATTATTATATATATACATATAATGTATAATTATGTAATAATTATTACATGAAATAACAATAAGTAGTTTAACATAAGAACAACTGAAAATATTCAGATTGGTCTGATAAATGAAAAAACTCACCTTGAAGATATCTTAACTCGAGTCAGCTATTTCTTCTGTGTTAGTTCTGATTTTTCAGGTGAACCCTGTGACGGGGTGGCAGCTCCGTGGAGAAGCGAACGCGAGCGCAAGAGTTGCTGAACGACAACTGTCGAGGCTCCCGAGGCATAGAAACCAACTGGTCTCACGTAGAGGTATGTAACTGCGTCTGTTCTCGTACTCTGACTAGATGCGCTACGAGGGTAGGGATATCACGGTTAAAGCATACGCCGATCTCCAGGTAACGCGGTTGTCTAAGCTGTACGGCCGCGCAATCCACAATGGAATACATCGTAAATATTAATCATCAATTCCATCAAAAACACTTTTTTCCACGTTGTTTCAATTTGTTGAAATAACTCAACTTATCTCCCGAACTTAAAAACTTAATTAATTTGAATGCTATATGAAATAGTTCACAGATCATCTAGATAAAGAAAACTGCACTTGAAATAGAAATTAATCGAATAAAATTCAATAAAACGATTGCGAATTTGTAGAACTCGAGACGTTCAGGAGTTTGTTTATAGAGATACTAATTTATGGCAGGAGGTGCGGCTATCTTTCATTGGTTTACTTTATTTGTAATGCACATTGCTCTGACTATCACCGACACTGCGATAATTGAACTTAACGAGAATAAAACCGACAACCTTCACGTTTTAACGAAGAAAGCTACTTTTTACAATACCCGGAACCACTGAACACTCGAAAAGAACCGTTTATAATGTTAGTGAACGTACGTTTACACGATGTCCTATTTTTATTTGTTGTCCACATCTTCCTATTGTGCGAAAGTCGACGCTCTTGAAATTCTTTTCGATAATTTTTTCCGCATAACGTAACAATAAGTTTATTTTCTACATTTCAAGAGAAGTCCGTTTTATCGTTTATTAACGTCGATAATCGGAGAATGAACGAGATAATTATTATATTCCAACTACAAAACGGAAACATAAGTCGTCAATGGACACTTCCGCGCAGAGTCAGCCGATGCAGAACGTTACCAGTTATATATTTGCGTTGCAGAAAATGCTATTTCATAATCTACTCCTTCGCTAAATAATTAACAAAAACCGAATAACTTCGAACATAGAAATGAACTCTAGTTTTACGATATCCAACAAGTACCTACGAATTATCGAGACCATTACTTAAGTCTGCGAAGTACGCAATTAGTGTTCTTAATTGACGTTTGTGACATATTTCATTGAACTCCTGATCCAACCTCGACTTCGATTTGATCCTTTGATGTCATATTAACGAACATCAGTAGATGACTACGTACTACATAATTTTTTTCTTACTTTTATTCAAATCTTATAATAAAATAAGAAACGTGAGATCAATTATAATTTTATTTTTGAAATATAGAAAAATTTGGTTGGTTCTTATTTAATATTTGTAGAAGCTAATGACCTTCCGGATAATAAACCGTATTCAAATTAAAAGGTGTCCGTTCCCGATTTGCATGCGACCGTCGGATATAGTGTTACTGTAATAAGATTGACAGGTCGCAGCGTACACCCCTTATTCGTTCATCGTTCTTGCTGAACGTTCGCTCGGACGTGGCACCGATATGTAGATTTAACGGTTTCCATAGAAGCCATCCGACCCGTAACGGTGACAATCGTTACATTAGAAACCATTAATAAACGTCGGAAATTGACTGTCCTTTTAAGTTTATTTATAATGAGGTTAAAAAGTGAATTTCCGTTACATGCATCTTACGAGTTCATCTGCAGATTTGTGATATTATAAATTATTTGTTCATTATTGAATGATCAATTGAATTACGGTATAACATTTTCATGAATGATGCAATTTAACGAGAGAATGCTTTCGCACTTGATCACAATGGGATATAAAAAGCAATCGCACAGGATGAATCGTTTAATGTTACAAATTGATCGAACGGTCAATTTGCATTTCTAAACGCAACGCTGGCGCACGCCTCCGCTGATTCTCTACTCGAGAATGATTTAATTCGTGTTCATATATCAGCTTCTTTAACGAGATTAACTTGCCGCGTTATGTTAATTAAACTTGAGTGGTTCGCTATAAAAGGAACAATACAATTTTATTCGTCAGTTTAATTTTATGTGTCTATACGTTTAATTTACAATAATTATATTTACCACTTTATACCAAATTAGGCTGTTATAATATTATTTTACAATTTCAAACAATGTTTATAATGTTGTTAGACAGGGAAATTAAAAGCCCTTAGAAGTTCGAGTGAACTCATAAAATGCACGTCTGTCATTTCACGGAGTACACGCAAGACAAGACAAGAGTACGTGGGGAGAGCACGTTAATACGTTCTTAGAAATAATATAACAGGATCATCATCGTCATTAGCCATCCTTTCGCGGTTCGCTACTGTCAACTGCTTCATCGTCTCATTGTTTTTCTGCAGTAGCAGATACAAGTATCCACGAGATAAGAATGTACACATTTCTTCGCGTTACACGTTTAACCCGTTCACAATCGTTCTCATAGCTCGTGCATAGGGTTATTACTGGCAATTATCTTCCCCCTCGAGTCTTGTTTTTTCTTTCACTGAAATCTAACTGTTCCTCGATGTCGATGAACCGAAGCTAGTTCGAATCAACTGGATCGCTGGTTGCTCTGCAATATTACAAACTTCATCAGACCTTCCATTTTTTTTATTATAGATTTACTAAAACTCATGTTAAATAAACAATTTGCAAAAATAAATCAGGAATCGCATTTATTAGAAGGAAGAGGAATGCGCTGTGTGTACTACCATTTTAATTAGATTTCGATAAATTGAATCCGAATTCGTAGCTGTCGTGCGTCAAACACAGAAATCTTAAACGTAATGAAAACCAGTCGCCTCGCCTTAAGACACACCCTAATCTCTTTTGGTTCTCGATTTAGAGCCCGCGTATGCACTTTCGTGTCGTCCTTGACAAAGCCCTCCTTTAAAAACACGAGTTCATTAATCTTCAACAGCTCGAGATTTCTTTTCTGTGTACAAAAATGGAACGGAATCATAAAATGTCTCGGATTTAACTAAGCAAATGTTACGTCGATGTTATCAAACGCTGACTAAGTAACGAGCGTTACTTATCAATAACAAAGTGCAAGTAAACTTAAATATTAAAGCGAATTATAATTGTCATTAGAAATTCTAGAAAATATAATATGAAAATAATTATCATTAGAAATTGATTCCGAGAGAGTCGTTATCATTAATCAATTCGTGTACCACGTTTTATCTATAAATATTCATGGAAGATATGATAATCACGTAAACAGTAAAGCGTGTGCAGTGAAATTGCAATAATTATGTAATCGTTATCAAGCATGTGCATCTGATATTACGGTAAAAGACTGGTGACATGCAGAAAGACGGGAAAATTTATATTAACGTCTACTTCATATTTTTATTTTCCACGCTAGAATAAATTTAATAAACAGATAACAGTTGCATAAAAGAATATTCGAAATGCGACCGAAAATAACATTGTTACCTCAAAATATCCCGTTTAATTGTTAGTCGTCGAGATAAAGAAATATTGTGTAAGAGTATTCGCAATTTTAGTATTTGGGCACGTCCTAACGTTCGTTGCAGGTTATAAGAACGAATAGAAGATACTGCAACTGCAGGTGTTCTATCGCTCCTCTTTCTCATTGAAACCATCGACTGACCTCACGTATGCTAATTGTCGCGGTCTTATCTGCACGCGAGCTTACCATCACTGGTAATATCGGTTAACGTGCCCGCTATACGTACGTGCAGGTAGCCAGCGAAAGGTGCGAGGATTGATTTATGTCGAACGTAAAAGACTTCTTATGATTAATTCTTGTATTATTTCGTTCAATAAATAGAAGGAACGATTTTGAATAGATAATAAATTTTATACCGTAAACTGTTATTTGGAGCAACATTCTAATATAAAAATGAAGATTTTATATAAAAATAATAGAACATTTAATATAAAATTGTTTAAACGACTATTTTACATTGAATAAAAGTAAATCCTAATCAGGGGCGATGACCAGTTTTTGCAGTAGGTAGCTAAAGTAAAGGAGACCGATGCAACTGCGACCCACTTGCAAATGGTATCGCCTATAAGATCTCGGCCATCAGCAGGAGAGCTGTAGACGTCAGACGTTGCAGGCGATGACCGGAAGTCGCGGTCGAAGACTGCCCGGCGACCTTCGTACGGAACTGTTATCACCGTCCTTGATATCTCGCCGTCCAAGTTAGAACCAATTACGTCGTGAGACTTTTTGTTAAAAAGTACAGCAATTTACAGTAAGCGTGTTAAGTCGCGTGTAAAAAAGAAATGGAAGTAATTATTTGTGATCATACAGCATGTTTTGAACAAAAACATCGATCAATATTCTTATGATTAATTCTTGTATTATTTCGTTCAATAAATAGAAGGAACGATTTTGAATAGATAATAAATTTTATACCGTAAACTGTTATTTGGAGCAACATTCTAATATAAAAATGAAGATTTTATATAAAAATAATAGAACATTTAATATAAAATTGTTTAAACGACTATTTTACATTGAATAAAAGTAAATCCTAATCAGGGGCGATGACCAGTTTTTGCAGTAGGTAGCTAAAGTAAAGGAGACCGATGCAACTGCGACCCACTTGCAAATGGTATCGCCTATAAGATCTCGGCCATCAGCAGGAGAGCTGTAGACGTCAGACGTTGCAGGCGATGACCGGAAGTCGCGGTCGAAGACTGCCCGGCGACCTTCGTACGGAACTGTTATCACCGTCCTTGATATCTCGCCGTCCAAGTTAGAACCAATTACGTCGTGAGACTTTTTGTTAAAAAGTACAGCAATTTACAGTAAGCGTGTTAAGTCGCGTGTAAAAAAGAAATGGAAGTAATTATTTGTGATCATACAGCATGTTTTGAACAAAAACATCGATCAATATTATGCATTGTGATTTATTTCGCAATTGTACATAACTACTTATAAACAATTTCAATTTCTCCTACATTTATAAACTATAATACATATTTACAGATATTGATTCTAGTTTAATATGATTTACATCTGAGTTTTCATGAATTTTTTATAAGCAGTATATATTTTATATCAGTGGTATAGTTCTATACGAGCACTTGTTTCGTCAATTATCTAATCACCCTCGTTCCCAGTATAAGAGGACTGGTAAAAGTTAGTTTCATAGCCGTGAGATGCAATACATGTATCCAAGTATTCCTTAGAAACGGATAGAAAAAAAGGCACACGCGACGCACAGGATAGGAGTGTCAAGAGCAAGTAACAATTTAGCGGAAAGTATGGAATTATCATAGAAAAATGAGATTGATCACGTGAACGTATTTATGCTCAGTGACCATCTCTACGTCATGCAATTGCGAACAGGGGGTTGGCTGTCAAGGGCATCGTGTGCACGAGATCTTCGTACGCTCGCACGGTCACGCTACCCATATTTCTCGATAGACTAACATCTCGGATAGGTAGCCTCAGTTAGCGTAAAATTTCGCTGTTGTTGTTACACTACGACGCGTTGCCGGTTCCTTGTTCTTGGCGCCAACCGCGCGGCACGTGCTCGTCGACGTCGAAAGTGCGCAGTGGCGACGTGGGGTTTATGACTGGTCGTGGCCTAAGTGTGGACAAGGGTGAAAAGAATCGGCCCCGTGCCGCGAGTCGGCTAGGGGATGCGACGTCCAGTAGCCAACAAACCCTCCTATCTGCATCTTTGGCACGAGTTTTTGGCCATACAGCCGACGGCCAAGCACTGGGCGCATAATTCTGTGAGTACCGTTCTACGATTCGCATCATCTTATGATACGAAAACTGAAAGATCTAATTCTGTGAAAAAATTAACTCCTTGAATTGGAGAGAAAAGTAAATATTTTTCTATAAAAAATCAAATTAAATGGAAAAGGAAAAGGATAATTAAATTTGGTTATTCACAGATGATTTAACTTAATGTTTATATCACGGTATAAAAAGTGACGGAAACGATTAACTTAATAGGTATAAAACGATGGAAGAATACTAGCCTTGTATTAGAGACTATATTGTTTGTGAAAGGCGCAGACATATCGTTTTATTCATCCGGTTTAGTTTTCTCTTGGAAGTGTAACGCATGCATGAGATGATAATGATACGTTGATAAGAATAGTAGTGATTTTATCGAATGGCGACTGCTGGAGAATATAAAACGGGAGAGCATAATACTGACAGATTCAGGTTGCAAAGAAAATGCCTAATGAAGAAAAAGACTGTTAAGTACTTTGGAAAGTTCACAGATTTAATGATGGTAACAATTGAATATAAGCAACGAATTACAAGCAACTTGAACATATTTAGTTGAAGCATTTAATTATATTTCTTTATAAAAATATTTGGACATCTGAGGAGGAGAATTTTATAACAATGCTGGATATCTTAGCTCCTTGCTCGTCTTCCTCGCTTGATACATTTTTTATGACTACAATTGATATTCATTGTCAAACGCTGTTCTTAGGCGAAAATCACATTAGCATCAAGAAATCATTGATGACATTCACGACTAGCTGACAGCCGAGATGCTAATTGAACGAATTTAAACATCAAATTAGCGATGTCGCTAATGCAATCCGGAATCATGATCGGACAAAGAAGAGATCCAGCAGTAACACGGAGCGTTTCATACCTGACGGGTTTGCAATTTTGTATTGATCGTCCGCGTATCGACATACAATTTATTTCAACCATGAATGTAAATTACGTTTACTCTTTAAGTATTTATCCTGGTCGATATACATCAAAAGTTCATATGTGAATCCAGCGACACATAAATTTTATATTTGTAATAAAGATTTGATAGCAAATTATGTTTAGAAAATTCTACTCGATCTATAATCTAATATTAAATGAAAAGGAAAAGGATAATTAAATTTGGTTATTCACAGATAATTTAACTTAATGTTTATATCACGGTATAAAAAGTGACGGAAACGATTAACTTAATAGGTATAAAACGATGGAAGAATACTAGCCTTGTATTAGAGACTATATTGTTTGTGAAAGGCGCAGACATATCGTTTTATTCATCCGGTTTAGTTTTCTCTTGGAAGTGTAACGCATGCATGAGATGATAATGATACGTTGATAAGAATAGTAGTGATTTTATCGAATGGCGACTGCTGGAGAATATAAAACGGGAGAGCATAATACTGACAGATTCAGGTTGCAAAGAAAATGCCTAATGAAGAAAAAGACTGTTAAGTACTTTGGAAAGTTCACAGATTTAATGATGGTAACAATTGAATATAAGCAACGAATTACAAGCAACTTGAACATATTTAGTTGAAGCATTTAATTATATTTCTTTATAAAAATATTTGGACATCTGAGGAGGAGAATTTTATAACAATGCTGGATATCTTAGCTCCTTGCTCGTCTTCCTCGCTTGATACATTTTTTATGACTACAATTGATATTCATTGTCAAACGCTGTTCTTAGGCGAAAATCACATTAGCATCAAGAAATCATTGATGACATTCACGACTAGCTGACAGCCGAGATGCTAATTGAACGAATTTAAACATCAAATTAGCGATGTCGCTAATGCAATCCGGAATCATGATCGGACAAAGAAGAGATCCAGCAGTAACACGGAGCGTTTCATACCTGACGGGTTTGCAATTTTGTATTGATCGTCCGCGTATCGACATACAATTTATTTCAACCATGAATGTAAATTACGTTTACTCTTTAAGTATTTATCCTGGTCGATATACATCAAAAGTTCATATGTGAATCCAGCGACACATAAATTTTATATTTGTAATAAAGATTTGATAGCAAATTATGTTTAGAAAATTCTACTCGATCTATAATCTAATATTAAATCATAGAATCACGTCGAATGATGTTTAAAAATGAAGGTGTCTAAAATTCAGTATATAATTGAAATTCTAAAAGAGATCTGCTTTTTTTATTTTCTTCACTTTACTGTGGTATTTTTTATTTAGTGACTTGATTTAGAAAAACATACTGATTCGAGTGAGTCGGTCTTTTAGACACAGGACTACACTTTGCCATTGCGTGTTTGTCATTTGCAGTTTCACAAATCGACTGGTATTATGAATGTCTCCACCGTATTTCCGGAAGGACTCACTGAAGCCGAGAGGTCACGTCATGCATCGGCGAACGCGAAAGATGACGAAGAGATTCAGGATAGATACAATCGTAAGTCAGATATCAATCCGTTTCTATCGGGTCATAGAATTCAACATTTACAATTTTTTTTTCTTTCCTTTCCGAGTCATACTCTTTTCTATCGCGCCTTGCGTCACGCTTATTTCATATTGTGTCAGGTTGTTTCATAATTTGCGTACGTATCTCGTTATGGAAAGTTGTTGCAAACATACATAAACAGCGAGTCACGTAATGAGTGACATAATCGAAAAAGTGGTGGTTTTGTTCAGATGAATCAAAAATGTAAGATTCAATAACGATCTTGTTGTTATTGCCAAGTTTCCCATAGCTAAATTCTCTTTTACATTTGACCTTGCAGTTAAATATACCGCACATCAAGTCTGTTATTTTAGATCTCGTTAAAATTTGGAAGTAAATAATTATAAACAACGTAACTGTTACGTGGCACAATCCCTACGAAGGTATATAAATCTAACGGTATTAGCATACCGACGCGTGACGTTTTCACATAAAATAAAGGCGTGGAAATGTACCGTGCACGTACGAGAAACGTCCGTTTACAAATCGTACAGCCAGGCTCATACGTCAGCGTAAACTTATTTGTGGCGAGAGACTCCGTGATTCACTATTTGTTAGTTTGATATGCAATTGTTCTACGATATCCCTGCGAGGAATCACGTTATCCGTACTCATTGCCAGCGTGAACTCATCCTTCCTTCCAGCAAAATGATTATGTACTTACCTTGAAAATAGCTTTTACGTTCCTCGGAAAACGATAGGAAAAAGTTCTCCACTTGTTTATATTGAAACTATAGCAAGGGATGATTAAAATATCATTATCAAATTAAATAGGTATTCAAATCTCTATTATATTGCTGAAGATCATAGGAACAGGTTGAAATTTTGTAGGAAAACGTTAAGAAAGAAATTCAAAAAAAGGAAGACATTTATTGAAGTTCAAGATATTTAATTCATAAATTATGATGTAAAATGGATGAAAGAGAGGAAGGATAAAATTATAAGGAATCATTAATCATTTAAGATTAGCGTTTTATCGACGGAGAAGTGGTTAATTTTCCATTGACTAAAAGAATTCTCGGTAGATCGCGACTCATTATTGTTTATAACGAATGCTAATTTATATCGATAATCATCTAATTATTATCTGATGGTTACCATCTGAAGTATGAATTAAAATTATCTACGACACTATTACTGTTTCGAGTTAATTTATCGCTTCCTATTAATCTACAAAATCGCCCGCTATGCGCCCAGAATTAACTCCATTTCGTTTTATTCAAATCAATACTGAAATAAACCATTTTCATGTAACGCGTTCGCGCATAAAATTATGATACATCATAAATTCATTAGGCAAGCGTAAATCATGGTGTTAAAAAGACATTAAGAGAATACTATTAAACGCTCAAATAGTATAGATTTGAAAGATCCATCGATCATTTTACAACTGAATTCCATTCATCATCTCTTCTCTCAAGATGTAATACTTTATTCCTTTAAAATCGATCTTGAAAATTGCATTCTTCTATCCATTTAAAGTCGTAAACATCGGATCATTCGTCTAGCCATTATTGATTGAAGAATAATGTCTCTCGTCTGAAAAACAAGACTGGCTTTTGCTAAAACGATCCGTCGGTGCGGTGTCATAGAAAGTCATGCGTTCTTGATCTCACTCGATCTCCTCGGCGCGCAACAAACGGAGATCTGGTACAGAGCGAACTGTGATTCAGCCGCGGCGCGGTGTTTGGAAATTTCCAGATTTCACCTTGACTTTGATTGCACGCGAGCTCGATCGTGCGAATTTCTCAGGCTCGCTTGCTCACCGAGTACCTACGTGTCACGTGTACTAAACAAATACATAGAGACGAGCTCGGAATCCTCTTTACTTAGAAATATATTATCATTAGATTGCAAATTTTATGTATTTGTAATAGTGAATGAAATAGGAAAATAACGTTTACAAAGTCATATGAAACAACTGAGCAAATAGTCCATGAACATTTAATTCGGTATCTACATTTAAATGTCACATATTATTATTCTCGTACCAAAGCATGTCAGTCTCCTATCGTTCGATAATATGTACGTTTTCGAGGATACGATTTAGAATTTATTATTACACAAATGAAGTGAATTTATTAACGAAATAAGATTTTCTTTAAACATGTCTGCTATTCTTCATGAAACAGAAACTTGTATTATACCGCCACTGTAATTATTTTTAATTAAGAAAATTATACAAAGAATAATTGAGCAGCATGTATCAACGCCCCTCATGCATTTATTCAACTAAATACACTGTAATCGCATTTAACTCGACTTAACGCCGTGTCTCAGTCAACGCTTTCATTTATACTGATCACCTCGCGAATGGTTTAAAAAGTTCAGGGTAATTTCCGCGAATTAGCGTATGCCTGTTAATCGATAAGCGAATTTGTACGGCCAGTTAACAGATAATAAAAATTCTCGTTGTTACATAGTTAAAGATTATCATCCTCGTCCAGGAGAATCTTGAGAATAACATCTACAAACGTGATCTTGTAAAAATTGTTCGTTTGCTATGTAATTACTAAAACACAGTACAGAATGCAATGCTTATAGCCGACTGCATGAATAAAGAAGCAGCTTTGTAAATTAACAAACGTAGAAAGTACGCGTGGTAAAAACTAAAAAGCGCCAGACAAACAAGATGAATAATCGAAACAGCAAATATTACGTGTCTCCCTCTAATGAGCGTGAAAAATTACTATTGAAATATTCTAAACGATGAGCTTCTTTTGTATGCACCAAGTCGGAATCGCATACCGAATAAGAATTGAAATGCACACCGAGAGATGCGTGCGGAATGCGATCCGAACAATAATAATGAGCGCTAGTAAAAATAGATAATAGGAAGAAAATAATGTGTTTACGCTGGAGCCGAGTTCCTCCGAGTAAAAAATTCTATCACGTCGAGTCGGTTTTAGATCTTCTATTATCCCGTTTATTTTTAAAACTAAGAATGTTTTTATTACTGCCTCTTCCTTTTCTTGGCGAAATGAATTCTGAAGGTCTGTAGTTTAGAAAGTGAATTCAGAAACAGAGAATGGAATTGACCTTTTTCCATTTCTGTTTTCTCAACATGTTATATTTATTAAAAAGATGAAATGTGCGCGAAGTACAATTTACTTATTATTATCATTCGTACAATGTTAATGAATGCCATATGAACGTTTGTAATGCAAATTTTTTACTGCGATGATCGTGGATGCAGCGCTCGATACGTTATACGGTTTGTATCGTCGTCGTTTTAACCAGGCCGAAACCTTTCTGTGGTTGCGATTTGCTTGCCATTAAAAGCCCGGTATAATGACCAGTTTTCGCGCTAACTGGATTGATTAACTTAGCACGTGCTCCGAACCGGCTCCGCGACGCACCGCCGCGACGCGACGGAACACCGCGCCGTAATTACACGATGGATTCGCGTCGGTGTTTGCCATTTTCATGATGGTGTCTCGTTACGCGACCGGCGCAGATAAAACACCTGTGAAAAAGGATACCGGCATCTGTCGTACGTAACGCACGATTCGTTCTTTCTTAAGGAAAAAAGGAGTGCAGCTGCTGCTTCGTTCGTCCTCGACGAGATGTGACACTTCGACTTCGGGAACATGTAAATTTTTTTTAAATGTTGCCTGCTGACATGAAAAGTTACTCGAAGATGTCGAAGAATTGTACCAATTACTTAATTAATTTTTAATCGTTTTATTCACCAGACCAACTTTCTTGGCCTACATACATACGTACGCATCAGAAATGTCAAAGTGTTTTATAATACTTCAAATCATCTCGCGAATAACGCGAATTTATCGAGAAACGAAATACTTACCTTCAATCGTTCTTCTAGTATTTCCTCGAGCCCTTCTTTAATTGTGCTGTAATATTTTATGGAATTACCCATTTGAATTGTAATGAGATATCGGAGTCTGTAATTTATACTTGAATGTAAAACGAAGAAGGTTGATCCCGCGACGATGTGCATAATAAATAATGAGCAACATAATAATCCTAGAATATCTACAATGTTAATCATCGAGTGAGTCAGTTTCTACGGAGAAAAGGTTCTGTCGATCGCCAAGTAGTACAAGTAACCGCGGGCGAGTACGAAGTGAAAAGAAAACGCAGAGAGAAGTTCAATTTAATAATAAACCGACTATCGACGGCAATTATCTGCCCCCGATCTCCGCTACGTGGACATTAAACAGGTACACAGGAGAAGTATATGTAGGTACGTCGAAGTACGAGTCTGCCGCTCCTAAGAAGACGTCAACTCCGTCCTGATAACTGACCGTAATCGCCAATTCGTAATGAACGTCTGCTATGTTTCTTTCCCCGAACTGCGTACTTCAAATTCAAATACGAAGATCGATGTTGCAGCATTTCTTCGAACAGTTTCAAGTATTATGTATCAGAGTTCGAGTACAGCACTTGAGCACTGGGTTTCTCCTAATTGCAATCTCTATTATTATCAGTAATACAAAATTTATCTAACATCCTCATGTAATTTTTAACACATAGTATTCTACTACATAAATATGATCATTTATGTATTTGACATCATTAGATTCAATTCATTAACTTTGGGATTTCCATCAATATTAAAATATTCAGAACTAGAGAATTACGACACACTTTTTGAACTTTCATGTTCCATTTCATTTACATTTAATTGAGATATACCCCTCACGTTTGACGTCCACTTATCCCTTTCTATGTACTGACATTCATAAGCTGGAGAGTGAGAGAATGGCTCAGAGGTCGCTTGCACTTTGTAATATTTTACGGCGTATTTAATTTCGAGTCTCCATTACGTTCAGTACGGTTGACAGAATGTTTTAATACCATGGTAGACCGCAACAGAGATTACATGGGTCTGCGTTTTCGTTACTTCTGTGGTTTCATTGTAAATGACCAGTCTACCGTAGTACAACTTCATACTACCTTCATTACCATATTTACAATTAAATTTCAAAAGTGATACTCCTGCTATTCATAAAAGTTCGAATCGTAATGAACGCGTAGGAAAACATACGAGAAGCATCCGACTGGTCAGCATCGTATTTATTCTACTCCAATTTCAATTACTTCATTCCTGTTTCCAGAAATTCTGAAACTGCGCATCGACGCGTGAATCGTGATTTAGAAAATGAATGCCTGCATAAAGCTGATAAGAGATCACAAATGGGGATAGGTACTTAAATTGAAATGATCATCACGTAACGAGTAACCGTGTTCGTTCAGCTAGCTCATCAGAACGGACTAAATCGTTTCGTTCTGGCAATTATATTCCTTGTTTCCTACGCGCATCCCGTGAAAATTTGCAATTCACGTAACACGTCCGTTTTTTATCCCGTTTCCTGGAAACATGCTTGTTATTTTTTGTTTGTCGTTTACCAATTTCGGTGATTATTTCGACGAATTCAATGCAAATTCTCATTGTGTAACGTTAAAAAATTAACAATTAATTAACAATAAGTGCCAATATTATTTGTTATTCCCGTGTCTACTTTTTTGTTACAATCAAATACTTATTAGATACACTGTCATTCAACAAAATATCGAATAATCAAGATTGAAACCTAATCTGAACTTAAAGTTGAAGACAGAAGTATTCATACCAAACAGATTTCCCACGATCATCTTTACAAATAATTCTCCATTGAATATTAATTACCGTGTGTTACTAATACGGATGCTCGTTTAAGAACAAAGGAAACTTTCTCTGTTTGTTCTTAAATCTGAAACAACCGCGTGATTTACGATATAGAAAAATATCTTCCGTTCGGACAAAAGCAGGAAGTTTCACTGGAAATCCGTGTTTTCACTCACAGGATCGGTACGTCGCGTCGTTGAACAAAGTTCATTAGCTGTGAAAAGCATTGTTCATTAACGAAAATAGAGGATCCAGATGAAACGTATCGCGAGTCGTCTATTTTATTTTTTCTAGATCGAGTTCATACCAGTTTATCGTTGGAAATGGAAAGTTTTCGCGGGTGTACCGGTTCTTGTAAGAAAAGACTGATCACGGTGCCGCGATATAATTGTAGCAATTTCGTGGGCACGTAGAAACCGTATTCTCTCGCTTTCGTTAGACTATTATTGCATCGTGCGAAACGGTCGACTCGCTTTTGTCGCTGCGAGTTGAACCAATTTCCCTCCCGATTGTTATTAAATCCGCGCCCGGGTTGCGCTTGACGTAAAAACTGGAGAAAGTTAAAGGATGAAATGATGCAATTGTGCACTATGCATTTTATGTAACCGCTAGACTGTCCAAAAACAGTAGCTTTCCTGTTTCAAGTAGTAAAAATGTTGGCGCTTACCTCATTTATGATCTTGTTAGAAATGGAAAAGTATTACGTTTGCAAAATCAGTAGATGTGAACAATATCACAAACTATGCACCAGAAACGATCGTTTTAATATGTATAATGGAGCAGAAGTTTTCCAGAACGCACGCCCTGCGAGTTCTTTGAACTTGTAAATGCAGCCTCGAGGCTTTTATTACTGGGGCAAGGAGTTTGCGAAACACGTTTCACGGATCATATTCGGACATTGTTCGTTCAAGGCCCATAAAATCTGACATTTAACTTCCTCCGGGAATAGACTCGACCGGTACACTTTTACGAAACACTGTCACTGGATTTATTATATCAAGGAATAACACGCATCGACTAATTCCTAAGCCTATTAAGTCATCAAGTGCCGGCATTGACGTATTTCTTCGTTTAATTGACGTTTGTTCTGCGCAATGTTCACTGATACCATCGGATAGAAAACATCACGTTTATTTTGACATTTTCTGTATTTCTTATTGTATTCAATTAATAATAATGGCGTAGGAGTGGTTTAGGAATGAAAGATGAAAGTAATGTTAAAGTGGCATTTCGTGCAATCGAACAACGAACATAAGTCGCATCTAACATCGTATTCAGTAACGACGACACGTTGGATGATTTATACTCACACAAATAATGTTTATGCACGTTTTTTATAAAAATTTTACCCATTTAGACAAATTAACAATTTTCTATTATTGTTCGAATAATTTTTAAAACTCTGATTATGAGACTGTTAAAAACAAGCCAGTAAACATTATAAGTCTTTGAAATGTTGAAAGAAAACGTCATTTAAAGGAGTGAAAGGCTGAAGGATCAAATTTAATAAATCTCAAACATTTGATGAATTCTTTAAAACCTTGAAATATTGGAAGCGATCTACTGGCAGGAGACTTGGCCATATGGCGACCTAATTAATAGCATTTAATTACTATCGAGGGACATGTACGTCAGCGGTGCGCATGCAGCACGCAGTTTTGCAATCCGCAAGAATTCGATGCGCGCGCGCGCGTACACACACGCATACGGGAGCATAATTTATCTACGGAACAACACAGCTTAAGCAGATAACTACCGATAACGGGGAAATGAAAATGTGCTCGTTGCCTACCGCTTCGCACGATATTTGCATACCGTTTGTTAACTCGTCGAGTTTTAATTATCTCGTTGATACCACCATTTTGGCCATCCGATGATGCCAGGAAATACATACAATTACGCATGGGAAGCGGCCTTGCCAGTTTTAAAACTACCAAATCATAGAGTTGATGCGTATCGTCGTTTTACTACCAATCTTAAGCGCATCATAATCTATCTGTTTCGATGATAATATCTATTAAATTGTAACGTGAAGATTAACAGAACATTGCGAGATTCACTGTGTTGTTTCAAAACTTCCCAGTATAATTTCTTAATAATTTGCACGAATCGTGTCCAAACGATTTTGAGATGTGAAAAATTGGAACCGGACGCGAGAAGAATACAATTTTGTCTGAAAGTCGAACGAAGGAGATCATTTCGCGTGATTCTCACGAAACCGCGAGCCATAACGTGCCCGATCACCTTCGTCTAGTTTGAAGCTAGACCCAAACATGGATTATGCAAGAGACTGCCGGATGAATGGTAAAAAAAAAAACAGGATGGAAAGCCGGACGAGATAGAGATACGCCTGGCTATTACAGACTTACAAATATTTTGCTACAATAATAAGAATAAATTTACAACGGCAACAGAGCAAAACCTAAGCATGTTATCACGCTATTTATATTTTCATGCTGAAGAAGGAAATACGTTCTTCTTTCGTGAGTGAAAAACAAGCCACGCATGAAAAATGACTTTTCCATGCCTGACCGTCATGGAATAACATTACAATAGCGATAGCTGATGTCTCGGAGATGAATAATTTGCAATTGGTAACGTAACACGCAGTAGTTCGACGTCACTCATCCTACATACGCGTGGTGGTATTTTTCCGGTTTTTCGTTACCGTGAATCTTGTGTTAAAAAGAAATACCATGAGAGAAATAAAGAGGGAGATAGGAGAAGTAAAGTGTTTTATAATGGCTTAAACGATCTTACCGTGAGTTGTAATCAGTGCCAATTTACTTCGAATTATTAAATACAATACTCTGTTGCAACTGCAATTACGTGCGATATAAAAATCAGGAGTTTAATACGGCGTTGCGTGAAAACGTGTGCTGCTCGACTTGTAACAAGCGTTAATTCTGCATTTTACTACGAATCAATTTGCGTTATTTAATTATATCACGAAACGAAGAGGAAATCAATAGATATTCGAGAAGCGAATGTCACTTTCAAGGCTATATTAAGCGCTGGATTTAAAATGTAAATTTCGATTTGCCAAATAAATGTCGTTTCATCCAAAGTACAAGACCATAAATAAACGAAAGACTTATTTAAAAGAATCTTTAAGGCGTAAGGTATTTGAGCACATAAAGTCTGCTTTAATTACGTCTAAATTAGTAATCAAACGTTCGTTCTAGTTGACAGAACAATGCGTCATGGTGAATATACGCAAAACATGAGCAGCCACGTTCGTAAACGCTGATAACTTATCTGGGCAACGCAAATATGCCATTATTTATATAATTACTCCAGGTATAAAGTGAAAAAGTTAGAAACTATCACAATGGGCTTCTGGTTAGATTTACACAATAAGGGATTAAGATATGCTGCGAATGGATTAAGATAAAGTAAAAACTGATTAAAGGGATATAGATTAGGGTAGATTACAAAACTGCATCGGTGCAGTAAAATGCGCTCGGCCGTTCACTGAGCTAAAGCAAACAGGCTTAACGCAGAACAATATTTAGATTGAAAAGGAAAAATGAATCCCAGAAGATTACGTCTGATACAATCTTGAAACGGGTAGCACTAATTTGACTATTTGACTTTAATATCACTGTATACATAATCTCGCTACGTATATTCAACCGTAATAGACGGTATTAATTTCCTGCTTCCATAATTATAATTCCTGTCGGTATGTCATTAAATGGAAAGTAGAGAATGATAGTGATGCAAATAGAGAGTTCTGAAATTAAGAAATTGTATCAGTAGATTGTAGAATCGGTTGCTAAGAGACGTAAAGCTTCTTATTTGTTAGATATTCTGTATTATTAACATTTTTTACACAATTTATTAAACGTAATGCAAAAGGTTTTAAAATATATGAACTATATCTTAAATAAAAGGCATAGGGCGTGTACCTTAGTGTCTATTTTTAAATATTTTTATAAGATTATGAATATAGAACATTTACTCGTTCATAATCCACTACACAGAAATAAGTCGCCGAACGACAAATTCATAATAGAAAACTAACTTCATTCTTGAAGAAACACTATGTAAGTGTATGTTGTAAATTATATATACTACCTATTTAACGAAGAGATCGTTGGAATTGACATCAGGTACATTAGAGGACGCGAATACATTAACCCAGAGCGTGTCAAGGCTGGAGAGGCTGCGATCGCGAGACTCACTGATCCCGCGGGATCGCGAAATAAAATATCCTCGGTTTTGAATGAGTTTTTTGAGCCAGTTCGGCGGGGGTCTACGATGATGAAGAGAGGAGGTGGACGAGGTGAGAAAGGAGGGATTCGCGATTGTCGATTGGGGGGAGGACAGGCAGTTGGAGAACACCGATATATGAAGGCGAAACTCGCGCTCCGCGAACTCAATAGCCCAGAGACTACACGTGGATGAGTAGCACCTGTCGTCGAACGTATCACGAATCTCACGTGTCACAGAAACACCTATTTTCCTTTCTTTCCTTCTCCTGTTTCCCTCCGCAGTTTCCCTTTGCGGAGATTCGTGGCCTACCTGTTTCGCGGCTACTCGTTACGCTGCGTTAAAAGTCCCGGTTCGATTGTTACGCCGACCGAGGTGATAAGTTGTTGGTTGCCATTGTCTTCTTATTTCGTAAGGGACCTTTTGTTCTGAAACGGAGGGGAAATTATCGTTTCTTGTGAATCGGTGATCGGTGATTCAAGTTCCGATGAAGAAACAAACCCTTGCTGACGTTCGACTACTGTGAAAAGTGAGGACAGGGAGTAGCAAAGCAAGGAAAGCGTCGCGTCGTTGCATATTTTTCGAAGTTACTCATTCTGGTACCGAGAGCAAAATGGGCAAAGAGTGGAAAGGTACGATATTTACTCTCAACATTAAGATAACGATGAATTAGTGATTGTCAACATTTCATTTAATAAGAATTTCAGTGTACACACAGTTTACAAAGTGAAGTATCATTATTTTTATTTTGTATAACAAGACCGAAATATAGTAACGGAATTATAAATAATATATGTCATTAAATGGAAAGTAGAGAATGATAGTGATGCAAATAGAGAGTTCTGAAATTAAGAAATTGTATCAGTAGATTGTAGAATCGGTTGCTAAGAGACGTAAAGCTTCTTATTTGTTAGATATTCTGTATTATTAACATTTTTTACACAATTTATTAAACGTAATGCAAAAGGTTTTAAAATATATGAACTATATCTTAAATAAAAGGCATAGGGCGTGTACCTTAGTGTCTATTTTTAAATATTTTTATAAGATTATGAATATAGAACATTTACTCGTTCATAATCCACTACACAGAAATAAGTCGCCGAACGACAAATTCATAATAGAAAACTAACTTCATTCTTGAAGAAACACTATGTAAGTGTATGTTGTAAATTATATATACTACCTATTTAACGAAGAGATCGTTGGAATTGACATCAGGTACATTAGAGGACGCGAATACATTAACCCAGAGCGTGTCAAGGCTGGAGAGGCTGCGATCGCGAGACTCACTGATCCCGCGGGATCGCGAAATAAAATATCCTCGGTTTTGAATGAGTTTTTTGAGCCAGTTCGGCGGGGGTCTACGATGATGAAGAGAGGAGGTGGACGAGGTGAGAAAGGAGGGATTCGCGATTGTCGATTGGGGGGAGGACAGGCAGTTGGAGAACACCGATATATGAAGGCGAAACTCGCGCTCCGCGAACTCAATAGCCCAGAGACTACACGTGGATGAGTAGCACCTGTCGTCGAACGTATCACGAATCTCACGTGTCACAGAAACACCTATTTTCCTTTCTTTCCTTCTCCTGTTTCCCTCCGCAGTTTCCCTTTGCGGAGATTCGTGGCCTACCTGTTTCGCGGCTACTCGTTACGCTGCGTTAAAAGTCCCGGTTCGATTGTTACGCCGACCGAGGTGATAAGTTGTTGGTTGCCATTGTCTTCTTATTTCGTAAGGGACCTTTTGTTCTGAAACGGAGGGGAAATTATCGTTTCTTGTGAATCGGTGATCGGTGATTCAAGTTCCGATGAAGAAACAAACCCTTGCTGACGTTCGACTACTGTGAAAAGTGAGGACAGGGAGTAGCAAAGCAAGGAAAGCGTCGCGTCGTTGCATATTTTTCGAAGTTACTCATTCTGGTACCGAGAGCAAAATGGGCAAAGAGTGGAAAGGTACGATATTTACTCTCAACATTAAGATAACGATGAATTAGTGATTGTCAACATTTCATTTAATAAGAATTTCAGTGTACACACAGTTTACAAAGTGAAGTATCATTATTTTTATTTTGTATAACAAGACCGAAATATAGTAACGGAATTATAAATAATAAAAAGTAAAAAGACATTTTAATATTATTTACATTCATTTGTCTCGTTTATGCATTTATCGTCATTATTATAATGAGGAATTTATGATAACACTTCCAGCAAGAATTTACAAAACTTGCCAGGATCATTAATCTACATATTTTATCGAAACAAACGACGTAATGTATTAAACAGCTACTTTAGACTGCATAAATTTTATTAGCAAGGTAAAACGCAGAAAGGAAAGAAGTACTCTTCCGTCGTTTCTAATTAATATCAGTAGGTTTTATGGACGATTACTATCAGAGGGAAACGTACGAACAGTGCATTAATCTTTTAGCGTGATCGAAGTTGGCAACTATTTTTGCAATTCGCGCACGCATATCGGCGATGTCTCCGATTGCTGTCTGTTGGTTCAATAATAAATTACATAGGAAACATTTTTCTGTCGTTTCACGGTACGCTGTACTGTTCGTCTCAAAGCAGCTTAATTGCCGGGAACGTTTACACAAGTGATATACGCAATACGAACCTTTCCATCCTGTGACATTTTTATGTCTAGTAAGATTAAAAAAATTTACCATCATTGTCTTACGTATATTCTCTACATTTGTCAATATGATTATTTTAATTCAGTTCAAATTCAAACAACGATGATGACAGAATTAGAATACTATTATTGTCATTTCACACAACTCTTTTCTCTCTGTATTTCAACTTTGCGTTGTATCATTGATTTCTGTTGCACAATCATTCACCCTATTAAGAAAACAAAAGAGGACCGAAAAAGGAAAGGTAGACAAACAGTACAAAAGTATCGATACACCGAATTAAGATTCATATTTGCTTTTCGACGTGCCTTTAAAAAAAACAATCGCCGCTGTTTGAAAACGGCTGACAACCCTTTCAGCGGCGAATTTCTTTATACTCAATCCCGTTTGTCCGCTCACCGAGCGAATGCAAGGTATTTTAACATTTCAATGAAGACGGAAAATGGTCTTCTTCGCGTATCGTTTAAAAGAAACGTCGTGTTGCAACGAGTTGCATATGAACAAGTCGCACGTCAAAAATTTTTGTTCCGCTGTCCATTTTGTTCAGGCGCGAAGGATTTCGTCGGTCTCGAGGAGGTGACGAAGGTCGAGTTTCTGGTGATGCTGTTCGCCGAGGCTCTGGGAACGTTCCTCTTGGTCCTGCTGGGCTGCGCATCCTGCGTTACGTGGACAGCTGCAAATTCGCCTACGGTAGTGCACATCGCGTTCACCTTTGGTCTCGCTGTTGCCAGTCTAGCTCACGTAAGTTCGTTCATGTCATTATTACCTGCAGAGGATGTAGAGCGCTCGTACGCTCGATGAAGCAGAATGATTCTCTTAATAGTAGTTCACGCGATTTAATTTTTTGTTTAGAATTTAAAAGGATTAGTTTACTACGTTATGTATAAAAAAAGTGTCAAAAAAGTTGTAAGTACGAGTTACAAGAATTTAAAATCCACGTCAAAAAATTGAGAATCATTGATTTCGGCCAACTTTCGCGACTTTGAGCTTTTGTCAATTGTAGTAGCGTTAACTGCTTACATTGAAATTCTTACCACGTATATAATTGATATCAATATACAAAATGTGCTATATAAACTTTTATTACTAATCCGGATAAAATAGTTAAAAAACAGCAACGTTCATTCTCTTGCTCGCAATTTCGAGCAGTTATGATTTTGTTAACATTTTTTTGATACATGATGTAGATAACCAGTCCTCCTAATTTCTTGAAAAACTCAAATGTCCCAGTACTAGAAAGTTATCCTGTGTTAAAGAACGTCTTACGTTCCACATCTATAATTAGAATGAACTGTTAATATTTATGCAAAATTTCAAGAATGAGTTAATGAATAGAAATACGATATAAAATTTGCTTCTTTTGAAAAGTAGTTCATTCTATATCGCACTAATGGAATAAATAATTAGAATATATAAGTATTCATTATTTCATATTATTCAAACTACAAGATTTTTATAAAATATTCATTCAGAGATCAGTAAGATCGACTTTTTCTCAACGAGGCGATCGTTACGCACGTGATAAATCATTTACCAGTTCGTGTTTATCCGATTTCATTGAATGGACAAAAGTAAATCGCGTTCTCGGCTTGTCCACGTAAGAATCGTGTAACCACGTATGAGACGCAGTGGGGAAACAGAAAAGAAAGGGGGGGATTCCCATTCACCTTACCGAACCGAAGTCCCGGACGAAGGTTTCGCGAGCAAGATCGGCTCCTTCCATTACACTCGCTAACGTTCACTCGTTCATTCGCAGCGCGTTGCCCTTTTCTTTTTCGGTCGATTAGCAAATTGGGAATTAATTTGTTGGGTCGATAAGCCAGCACGTGCAAATTCGTCGCAGAAATCGAAAGCGATCGGACAAGGTCTTTCGAGTTTTACGATCCGATTTACATTTCTTTCTCCCGATCCCTTCTGAATACAAAACAAAAATGTTTGATGAAAATAATTGTCATCATTGACATTCACCTTGGTACAACAGACTGTATGAGAACTGGCATGTAATTAGGTATAACTTAATTCCAAGTCATTAGTAATATTGCATAAAATTCTTGATGAAGTTATGTAACACGCGAAATTATTCGTAATTGAATTTCAATTGCACTCATTCAAGGAAAATTGGGGTATTTACAATATCCTGTAGCTAACTATGTAATAAAAATTATTCGTTATGTTTACTCTTGATTAAAATTTCTTATGAAGAAACTAAGTACTGGATTTCTCATGATAATAAATATTTACAGACTATTTTATTCAGATCTGGTTCATTAATTACATTCGAAATTAATCTCCGAGTTACCAAATTTCTCCAATGTACATTTCATCGCTTTTTCTGCTTATGTTGCAACTTGTTAAATTCAATTCAAAATTTGTCTTCGCTGTAATCGGTATGAACGAAAGTATTTAATGAAAAAATTATCAACATTTATTGGTTGTCGCGCGAAGAGCGAAAAAAATGGGTCGCACATTGCAGCCGTCAACGCGGTAGAGAAGTCGAAGCACGAGGTGCTAACAGCAGCACCGCACCGGTCCGAACAACATTTTATCGCAACATGTTCCATTAAACGAAGTAAATCTTTTTTGACCACGCGACCTATTTTCTCCCTTGGAACATTATTTCCCTCTCTGCTCAATGCCTCTCGAGCTTTCGTAACCCGTCTCAATCTCCGATAACCAGCAACACAATTCGAATTTTTCGCATATATTATGCCGCCCCTTTGCAGCATCAAGATATTACAAAATATAGAATCTAATTGACCAAAAGATATCCCATAACTAACGAGCAGTTATTGATTTCCGCTGAAGTGTACACTACATGATGTTATCTTATCTACAGACCAAATTAAAATCTTCTAATGCTTTGCATGCGCAGATGTCGCATTTGATAGGAGATAAATTTCATTATACTCATTTCAAATGAAAGTGCTTCAATATTTCTGAAATTATCAAATGCCAGAAGCTAATTCCGTATCATCTCCAGATTAGGTGTGTATAAAATATCCAACATCGATTTCTTTGTTGCTCTACCTAGCTTAGCTCTTTGAACTGTAATAGAACTATTAGAATATAAATATATGTGCATAAAACCCAGGACAGTTGAAACGTTCCATGGCATGAAGAGAACAGAACTTTCCCTCTCTTCTCGCGCTACCCTCGGAAACGCGGTACAAATGAAAGCGGAGACGAAGTGACTCAAACCCGAACGCGTAATTACTTAACGAGGCGTAGGCAGTGCCGACAGTGGGAGGATGCTGATCCACGAAATCAGCAATTTGCCAACGCGACGAGAAGACCAATGGACTCCTTTCTTCTCGCCGCGTTTAGCAACTAGACTGCCTGTCTCTCTCCCGGGTCGATCCTCACCCAAAACCAGAGAGCACGTGTGTCCGATCATACCTCCGCTTTGCATTCATTGACATTTTGAAAACAGAAAAAAAATCTTTCAGACCCGGAACGACGAATCGAGAAGCGAATCTGAATGACTGACACCGTGTTCACAGCGAGATACCTGTTTTCATTGCGAGAATTTAGAATAGAACTGGTTCGTTACACAATAAATGAGTCTATAATAGCTCACTCGAGAGAGATGGTAAATTTAGACAACGATTGATCCTACGTAGCCGCGTGTCTCTCGCTTTATTAAACCCCTCGAGAAAGGAAATGTTTGGATCATTAACACAAACAGCCTGTATGATTCAACATTTTCGCAATACCCCCATCCCAATTTGTTCGATTTTTATGTACTTCTCTTCACTTCGTTCTCTCTTCTTCTCGCACTAAAAATTTACAATAGTACATAATAAAACACGAGCGAATTATTATTAATTAATACATATTTTAACATTTTTATCTAAAATACTAATATTTGTCCGAACATTTCTTTAACGGCCCGGGTTAGTTTATTTTACTGTACGACGCGAACCAGCGTGGATCAAGAGAAGTTAACGAGTCTCTTAGTCGAATCCCAAACTCGGCCTCTCTTTCTTTATCTTTCGCCTTTCCCGATATAGGGCGAAATAACGATCAAACCAGCGAGTGTGGCAAATGCTTCGAAGCGTTTCGCGTAGTTAAGTCCATCCTTAGTTCAGGTGCGGTTCACTCGTATTTACCCGTCTACGTTTACTTTTGCGACGCTGGCGAATAAATAGAAGTGAACGGCAGAAATGATGAATGCGCCCCGATCCCTTCTTAATTATTCTGCTGAATCAATCCTCTTTTTCTTTACCAATTTTGCTACTTATACTTTTATATATGGAAATTATATTACGTCGCTTTTTCGTGAATGATTCTTATATACCAAATCTGGTTTTCCTTCAATTTAATTTATGTTGCAAAGAAATAAAGATTCTTTTTTTGAATGATAAAATATTCCAATCTTTTTGTGCAATTAAATCGCATTCAATTAAGTCGAGACATCTCGCTCGGCTGATTTTCATTCGGCGATCATTTATCACAATCATCGAGACGACTCATACTCGCTTCATTTGTATACCATCTATTAATGATGCACACGGGCCCAACTAGTATAATGATTGCAATAAGTGCTTCATGTATCATTATTACAATTAATAATGTCGTCGAGCAATATGCTGTAACATTAATCATTTTTGCCAGCCGGTCTTAAGCATTGATCACGACTACTACGGAAGCTTCAGTCCACGAAATTCGGTACCAACCAACGAAGTTGCTCAAATAACAATATGTACATATGTATGTACATTAAAAAGTACATTAGAATAATAAGTATCCGTAATCGTTTAACACAGTCTTATATGTATAATTGCGAAATAGATTTTGCTGTTACTTCTGTTGTGTTCTAATGGAACTGAAATTTTTCTTCGCACAGCATAAAAATGTCATATATACGCATCGACAGTTACTTGGCAGGACAAAAAAAGGCGAAACTATTTTTCTAAGCAGTGCAAAGTATTTAGTAGTGTGTGCAGCGCCTTTTACGTTGTTACGTATGCACACGCGTGCGTTCCGCTTTACACGTGACGTTGCCTTTGCGTTGCTGGTTGATCTCAGTCAGAGAGCCAGCCGCTGCCGGCACGTTTGGTAGAAGGGTAAATAAGGCCGCTGATTCGCCCAAGGGGGTCTAACTTTCCGGATGGTGCAATTCTGCCCCGAAGGCTCCGACAACCTACTCGAGACTGAGACCCGGTGACTCGCCTCGAACCTCTGATCTCAACTAATGTGACTCTTGTCCTGTCTCCTTTGATACTTTACTTACCGACAGCCTCGCCAAATCACGGATAAGAATATTTTATAATCCTGAGTATCCTCCTGGATTATATTTTACCACGCGCACAGTTCTATTTTTTTTTTATTCTTCCAATCCTTCTCTCAGCGTATAATTTAATTCCCCCCCCCTCCCCCACTTGTATCAGTTCCGTATATCTGGAAAATCAAAGTTAGATACTCTTATCATATGTATACGCAACGATTAAAATACATGTATCATAATTGAGAAATCTTTTTATGTTAAAACTCTTTCTCTCTCTCTCGATATGACGCGAGGCTCATCGCGAGAATTTCAATAATTTATTTCGCAGCACGATTCAGTCCATCATACTCGATGATAAAGAAAGGTTCACGAAGGACAGAACGATTGGAAGGGAACAAGAAAAAGAGAGGTATAAAAGTCTCAAAGTTGTCGTCGATAATTCGAATGCAAATCGTACGTTCCCCGCCCCACATTATGCGTCATTTGTCGCGAGTAATTGTCAAAGAAGACACAG